GTTCTTCATCCAGTTTCCATAACAGTCAGTCATCGAGTTTGTACTGACGGGTCATGCACCAGGCATAATCTAACTTAATACGGATTAATCAGTCCAGCGTGGAACAGAACTTACGTCTTGTACTTGGATCTTGGTTGTACATTATCCTGTGACAGTTGATCTTAGGGCGACCAGTGAGGCAATGGACTTTATACACTGCCTCAATTTAAACTGCCCTTTTGTATAAAAGAGCTGCTGCTCACGTGCTAGTATTCTATGCTAATTCATGTTGAGGCTGAAAAGTTTGACGACAGAGAAACGAACGTTGATGCTGCCATAAATGATGCCAAAGCTCTGTACGAAGCAGGAGAGAAGCGGCTTGGAACCAACGAATCCGTTTTCAACAAAATCTTCGGCACCAGAACGCACGAGCAGTTGCAGGTCGTGTTCCAAGAGTACGAGAAGTTAGCAGGCCATGGGATTGAGTTCGCTGTCCAGAAGGAATTCAAAGGTCCAATGCAGAATGCCCTTCTCGTGATGAGTAAGTAAAAATTGCTTACGTAAACAATATCCTGATCAAGATGAAATCATTTTTGACATCAGATTTTGCTCTGGACCCATATTTACACGATTCGTGGTTCACAACACCAAGAGCACCTTTTTTGCCAACGCGTTTCGCTACTTATACTGTAGCATCATCAGGGATAAGTTGAGTATAAAACCTGAGTTTTTCGAGTTCATGCTGAGCTTTTTACTCTAGATCTTCTAGGTCTCGTCTGCATGATGTGATTTGTTCGTTCGTTATTTTTCGAAACTCGTTACTCTTATCAGCTGTCGGAGCTGGAGTTTCAGGAGGCTTCTGCAGTGATCTCAGTTCTCTGTAAAATGAACAAGCGCAAGTGCGTAGATTTAAACGTGTAACAACAGCCTGCAATGAATAAACTCTAGTCACCTGGCCCCTGAACATAACTTTAGAAATCTTCCATATAAGTTGCAAAAGACTCCAGTTTGCAAGTCCATCAATCGAGAATATTATTTTTTCCATTACCTGATCCGGCACCGTCTTAACCATAAGTCATTATCAGCTTTGTTGGGTAGATGATTCTGTAAATCACAGCTTTCGCCATAATATTCTGGTATTGACTCGCAAGGTTGACCACAATTGTTTCTTCTGGCTGCTGCTAGATTTCCAACGTTTTTTGGTTATTATAAATTGACAGAGGAAAGTAAGATCTTCAGCGGATCAATAGACTCCCTTTCATTTGTCCTTTAATTTCACTATAAGAAATGCATTCATGAAAGTGTCAGTGAAACTTGATTGCATATGTTGCGCTTTTGTTGAACGTTTTAACAGACTTGTGAATTATCATTTGTCGAGCCCCTCGCTGTCAAGCAATTTCTGTCGCACGGCTGTGAAATTTTTGATAACGGCAACTTGAAATGTGCTTTCTTGCCAGACTTTTTACCACAGTATTGAATTTTTTCTCGACGGTCGTTACTACATAACTCAAGGAACAATCCGCCTTCAGTCATGTAATACTTCAGTGCTGCGTTCTTAAAGATCATGTTGCTTTCCCGTCAAAACAGTGCTCTGAAACAGAAAGCGCTAAGTCGGTCCATCATGTCAGGCTTCTTCAACGCCTTCTAGCGTTTCGTAAAAATCTGGCCTTTTATCTTTGAGTAGGATCTGTATCGTTATTCTGAATGCTCATTTCCACATCTACCTTTGAACAGTATTACAGTTCATACCTATGGAATGGAATGCCAGACATGTCTGACGCACCTGTGTGCACACCTGTCTAGTAATAAAGAATTAAACACGTTTTGTTTATAAAGCACTTACATTGCTCAGAAAATATATCACTTTATCAGTGAAAGTGTCGCTTGAGAGAAGTTTCTTTTTCACATTAACTGAACACCTGTTGCATGCCGACGTTTTGCGATAGTGAATAGTTTATTTTGATGCATGTGTGAACGCTGTTTTAGTAAAGATTGTTCGAAATCCGATAGCCTATTTTGCTAAGCAGCTTTACAGTGCGATGAAGGGACCTGGCACTAACGATCCTGTGCTGATCCGAATCATTGTCAGTCGTTCTGAACGAGATTTGCTGCAGATCAAGGAAGAATTTTTCAACCTGTACGGCAAATCTCTCAGAAGTTATGTGATTGTAAGTAAATTTATGATTTCTCGTAAGTGACGATAAAATTGTGTTCTAGTACAATAAATCTGAGATTCGCGACTTGTCGAAAAATAAATAATGATTGTTCTGTGTCGATGTTTATCGTCTTAGTCAACTAATTGTTTAAACCTGTAACATTATTATTATTACGAATAATTGCTTTGAAGTATACATTTAACTCGGCTGCTTAGTGTAAGGAGTATTAGATATAGAAACCAAACAAAGGGAATTTCAAGTACGCTGCAACGTTTCTCATACTTGTCTATGTTTCTCGTATACCGGATTTCTTGTGTCTTATGGTATAGCTTACCTAAGAACAAATAAAGCGCGTTGAAAAACGAGTAGAGTTAAGGGTTTTGAGGGAAAGATTTTCTTAACATTTGTTCATTTCATATTTCTAACAATCCCAGACTACAGTGGCGTCAATCTTTACTTGCTAAATGAAGTAACGTGTGCCACTTCAGTAAAAGGGGGCTTTCAGTTACCCAACTAAAGATGAAAAACAGGTGATGAGAAACGCAGACTGACCAATGGAAATGAATACCTGCCATGGAGGTAATGTCACCGAAGATGCATGCCTGACAATTTAAATACCTTTATAATTCTGCAACTATAACAGCGGGATCAAGATTTAAGCAGAACGGTAGTGCTTGCCTCGTTTACCCTGAAATTCTTTCCACAATCCGGACTAGTAAAGAAATGACAATCATAAGGAAGGAATAAACGAACAGTCAATGATAAGCCTCTAACAGCGTTAGTTGTGACACTTGTTGAAGAGCCAGTACCACAACGGCATGGAAGGGCTTCTGAAGGATACAATGATGGTATGCTTCGATCAAATCTCACTAGCTCGTAAGCTACTGTCGTGGGAATTAAAATATGAAGACAAAAGATCGGTCGCCAGCACTTGGCTGAGGAAGCTAAATAGGGGAGGAAACTCTCCTTAATTCACGCACTGAACAATTCCTGATACCAAAAACTGGAAATGCTTATATAACCGGGAATTACGAATTTTAAATAGCGGATGTTTTTTCACATTAGTTACAAATGTTAAATACAAACAAAATCATGTCACAGTCATACAAAAGCTAAATACTAAAGAAATCAAAGGTAGTTCCGTTGGTATGTAGCACTTATAGCGATTCAGGAAGGAAAGAAAAAACAACAGAGTGATGGGGATACGATTAAAGCTAGCATTTTGTGCTACCCTGACTGGCACTGCTAACCAGCTGAACTGAACGCATGGTCGCCCTCTTAACGCTTCTGCTGCTCTCATAGTCAATTTTTTTAGCGTTTCAAAGTATGTTTCTTATATGAATATGATCAGTTAAAAAATTTAACTCGAATATAGCATAAAATATTACGTCCGTACTTCAGCATGCCAGAAATGATTATTATACTTAGAATAGCCCTTTCGTGTTGTTATGTTATTAGGGGCAGCGGTTCGCATTTACCCATTACGTGTTTACGTTGAAATAAGTGGTTTATCAGTGAGCCACCAGAGCTCTCTATGCCATTCAGTGCAGTTCTTCTGTAAAAAGAATACTGCATTACACCTAGGCACAGCGCGATTTAGGTACCTGCTCTCTTTAATTCCCAAAAAGGGGTGATGAAATCTTTTGATTTTGTTAAAAGAAGACTTCGATTCGTCAGCACAATAGAATATAGGTTTGAACGAGAATTCGCTGATTACACTTACAGGTGTTAAGAAAATTACTAGGTGCGAACTGTTTGGTTCATCATTAGTATCTGGAAAATTTAATGTTACAATTTTGCCAAGACGTGTCGTAGTCACTCTAAAATTGAAGAAGATATTTTTTAGCAAAACCCTTGACTTTTACTTTCGAAGAAAACACTGTCCTTCGTCCCGAACTGCTTTACCAAAGAATATCGTTCTAGGTGCTTTTGTACCGCTATTAAAACGACCAGGGCTTTCCCCAACTTTTATATCGGTGCCCACAGTCATAAAAGCTGATGATAAATTTACTTCATAAACTATTAAGCTTTATT